ATCCCACATCCAAAGTCAGGAGCTGCGGCTGCGCTTCACTGGACTGGCTATAAGAAGATACTCCACGTTCAAGGTCAGAGAAATCCCAGTAAGATAGTAGGCCCTGGAGCAGTTGTGAGGTTATACCCCATGTCCAAGGGCAAAGGAGAAGCCCCAGCAAGATGGTAGGAGGGGCGAATTCACATTTAGAACCAAACCCCATTCCCTCCAGAGATGCTCAGGGGGCTCAAACAAACCTTGTGTACACCAGGACCCAGGGACTCCACAGAGACAGAGACAGAACTGTGTTTGAGCATTTCCTGTGGAGGTACGGGTCAGCAGTGGCCTGCCACAGGAACAGGGGCTCTGGGTGCAACAGACTTGAGTATGGCATAAGCCCTCTTGGAGGAGGTCACCAGTAACCCCACCACAGAGTTGCCAGAACTTACACAGGACTGGGAAATAGACTCTGGAGGGCACAGACAGAACCTTGTGCACCAGCAGAAAGGAGCAGTGACCCCACAAGAGACTGACCCAGACTTGCCCGTGAGTGTCCAAGAGTTTCCAGCAGAGGCATGGGTCAGTGCTGGCCTGCTGCAGGGTTGGGGGCACTGAGTGTAGCAGTGCCTGCATGGGATCTTTTGAAGGAGGTCACCATTATTTTCATCACCTCCACCATGGTTTGGCCCCAGGAAAATTGCAGGGAGGGAACACAACTCCACCCATCAACAGAAAATTGGATTAAAGATTTACTGAGCATGGCCCCACCCATCAGAACAAGTCCCAGTTTCCCCCTCAGTCAGTCTCTCCCATCAGGAAGCTTCCATAAGCCTCTTATCCTTCTCCTTCAGAGGGCAGACACTGAAAACCACAATCACAGAAAACTAACCAATCTAATCACATGGACCACAGGGTCATGGTGGAGAGTTCTGACTAAATGTGGTCCACTGGAGAAGGGAATGGCAAACCACTTCAGTATTTTTGTCTTGAGAACCCCATGAACAGTATGAACAGGCAAAAAATTAGGACACTGAAAGATGAACTTCCCAGGTTGGTAGGTGCCCAATAAGCTACTGGAGATTGGTGGAGAAATAACTCCAGAAAGAATGAAGAGACAGAGCCAAATCAAAAACAACACCCAGTTGTGGATGTGACTGGTGATAGAAGCAAGGTCCGATGCTATAAAGAGCAATATTGCATAGGAACCTGGAAAGCTAGGTCCATGAATCAAGACAAATTGGAAGTGGTCAAACAGGAGATGGCAAGAATGAACATCAACATTTTAGGAATCAGCAAACTAAAATGGACTGGAATGGGTGAGTTTTAACTCAGATGACCATTATATCTACTACTGTGGGCAGGATCCCATAGAAGAAATGGAGCAGCCATCATAGTCATCAAAAGAGTCCAAGATGCAGTACTTGGATGCAATCTCAAAAAATGACAGAATGATCTCTGTTTGTTTCCAAGGCATACCATTGAATATCATGGTTATTCAAGTCTATGCCCCGACCAGTAAAGCTGAAGAAGTTGAAGTTGAATGGTTCTATGAAGATCTACAAGACCTTTTAGAACTAATACCCAAAAAAGATGTCCTTTTCATTATAGGGTACTGGAATGCAAAAGTAGGAAGTCAAGAAACACCTGGAATAACAGGCAAATTTGGCTTTGGAGTATAGAATGAAGCAGGGTAAAGCTAACAGAGTTTTGCCAAGAGAATGCACTGGTCATAGCAAACACCCTCTTGCAACAACACAAGAGGAGACTCTACAGTGGACATCACACAGATGGTCAACATTGAAATCAGATTGATTATATTCTTTGCAACCAAGGATGAAGAAGTTCTATACAGTCAGCAACAAACAAAACCAGGAGTTGACTGTGGTCAGATCATGAACTCCTTATTGTCAAATTCAGACTTAAATTGAAGAAAGTAGGGAAAACCACTAGACCATTCAGGTATGACATAAATCAAATCGCTTTCTATTATGCAGTGGAAGTGAGATATAGATTTAAGGGATTAGACATGATGGAAAGAGTGCCTGATGAACTATGGATGGATGTTCATGACATTGCACAGGAGACAGTGAGCAAGACCATCCCCAAGAAAAAGAAATGCAAAAAGGCAAAATGGTTGTCTGAGGAGGCCTTACAAATAGCTGTGAAATGAAGAGAAGTGAAAAGCGAAAGAGAAAAGGAAGGATACACCAATTTGAATGCAGAGTTCCAAAGAATAGTAAGGAGAGATAAGAAAGACTTCCTCAGTGATCAGTGCAAAGAAATAGAGGAAAACAATAGAATGGAAAAGACTAGAGATTTCTTCAAGAAAATTAGAGATACCAAGGGAATATTTCATGGAAAGGTGGGCTCAATAAAGGACATAAATGGTATGGACCTAACAGAAGCAGAAGATATTAAGAAGAGGTAGCAAGAATACACAGGAGAACTGTACAAAAAAAAGATCTCATGACCCAGATAATCACGATAGTGTGATCACTCACCTAGAGCCAGACATAATGGAATGTGAAGTCAAGTGGGCCTTAGGAAGCATCACTATGAACAAAGCTAGTGATGGTGATGGAATTCCAGTTGAGCCACTTCAAATTCTAACAGATGATGCTGTGAAAGTGCTACACTCAATATGCCAGCAAATTTGGAAAACTCAGCAGTGATCACAGGACTGGAAAAGGTCAGTTTTCATTACAATCCCAAAGAAAGGCAGTGCAAAGAATGTACAAACTACTGCACAATGGCACTCATCTCACACGCTAGTAAAGTAATGCTCAAAATTCTCTAAGCCAGGCTTCAACAATACGTAAACCCTGAACTACCAGATGTTGAAGCTGGGTTTAGAAAAGGCAGAGGAATAAGAGATCAAATTGCCAACATCTGCTGGAAGATCAAAAAAGCAAGAGAGTTTCAGAAAAATATCTATTTCTGCTTTATTGACTATGCCAAAGCCTTTGACTATGTGGATCACAATAAACTGTGGAGAATTCTGAAAGAGATGAGAAGACCAGACCACCTGAACTGCCTCCTGAGAAATCTGTATGCAGGTCAGGAAACAACAGTTAGAACTGGACATGGAACAACAGACTGGTTCCAAATAGGAAAAGGAGTACATCAAGGCTGTATATCGTCACTCTGCTTATTTAACTTATATGCAGAGTACATCATGAGAAATGC